GAGAAAAAGAGAGTCCAAAAATTATTTTGTGTGTCAAACAATACACGAAAAAATATTTAAAGTATATTTTCTCACCAAAGAAAATTGTGTAACTTTAAGAAAATGTTTAAAGAAATTTTGACACACTTATTTTGAGATTGACTCACTAAAATATTTTAGACAGAGAAAAAATGATTTTTCAACTGACTCAAAAATAATTTTTATCCCTCAGAAATTCAATTGTTTTGTGCAAAAGATATTGTCATCCTTACAAAAATCCTAGACTCAATAAAAATTAAAAGGTCTTCGGAGTCTTCACATCACTTAAAAAATCTGCGTAGGGGTGATCGTCAATTTTCATCGCCGTAAACTTCTTGATACGCCTCTTTTCTTTTCTCGGTACAAAAAGTAAATTTTCGATCATCGTTTGAATTTCATCATCCTGTTTGTCATTTATCAAAACAAAAAATATTCCAGAGAAAATAATAAAGGGGTTTGAACTCATGTCCAACATCATTGAGTTGGTATTTTCAAGTCCTGCATCCGCATCCTCCGCGACATCTCTGCCCCGGGAAGGTAATCAACAAGTAAGTTACTATGGCATAACACACAATCTTAACTCATTGAAATTTGCTTCCTTTGAGTTGCTAATATTCTCATAGGCCCGATTGCAATAAAGTTTAGATTGCCTTAGAATATTCTTCAACCATCACAGTCGACATCAGAAGATCAAGAAAGGGACAATAAACCTGATAAGCGCGTCATATTCGTATGTCGTAATACACGAATAGCTAAGCAAACGATGTGAATCAACTTCTCACAACCTGAAGAATACGTTGAAGAAAGAACTTTCTCTGATAGGAAGTGAACAAATTCCCCAAAAAGTGAATCTGTCATTTTCTGAAGAAAGAGAATAGAGCCTCACAAACCAGATCGAATACGGCATATGTATCGAATCTGAAACGCATTATAGGGGTGAATCTACATACAAACATTAAGATAATTAACTCGTTCACGTGAAAAGTCGCAACAAGATGACACCACAAAACAAGAGCTAAAGCAGTTACACCAACAATGAAAGACTAGAAGATAAAGAAAAGGATTAATATTTACATGGTACATTTTGATGTTGGAAATAAATACTCTTCTGAAATGCATTGGTCATGCAGCTTAGAACGATATTTATGACTAACGCATAATGTACATTGATAATATTATATTACAAATGCAACTCTAAGTCCAACCTTCCAGGATTTGCAAACTCATCATAACTAGCACCAGGACCTGGGAAAGCATTAGCAAACTCTAGCTTGTCCAAAAGCTCATCAACAAAGAAAGAAGAAATGAACAGTTTCCTCTGATTCAAAGCCATGAAGTTCTGCCTCACCGCATCATCTAGAAACTTGATTAGGTTATTGAAATAACCGTCAATGTTCAAAAGACCAATGGGTTTACTGTGTAACCCTTCGGATGCCCATGAGATCAAAGTGAATAAACCTTCCATAGTGTCAATTCCTCCAGGAAGTACAATGAAGGCTTCCACAATATGATTCATCTCGAAATACTTGTAGTAATTGTTGGAGACAGTGTACTCTGCACCATATGTTGGTCCATAGACCCCTCATGTTGCTATATACCCTAGTATGAAACCTCTGACTCTACCACCATTATTATAGACTATTGAAGCTACAAGTCCTTGAAGGCCAACGTTGCATCCTCCGTAGGTAAGCCTGATTTTTCGCCTTACCAACTCCCGTCCTAGATCAACCGCTGTAGCCATGAACCTTGGATTGCCACCAAGAGCATGACTACCAAGTAGACCAACGAATCTTATGGTATTAGGAAGAGATTGAGAAGTTCCTTCCATAATGCGAGAATGTGACACACTCTTGCCCAATTTGATATATATATATATATATAGACTCTGAAACTGGACCATTGATGAAAAAGTAATTATCACCAGCCTAAAAATGTACAGGAAAGTGGATTCGTTCCAGACAAGAATGTACTCACCAATACTATAGTCTGCTGACGACATGATATATTGAGACTCGGGAATAGTTAGGCTCATTGTTCTGAAATATGTTCAATTCCGAGACGAAAAGTCAAAATGGCTATTTACCTAAGATAATGACCCCTTGAGTAACTTCCAAAGAGTGAAACATTAAAGGATGAAAACCTACTATTTGCCACAATAATTCACAAACGCTATATTCGTATCTTGTGACCTATATCCTCAAAATACTAAAACTTGCTGTGTTAATTACACACTTAAAGCATCTCATTTGATCAATCTTGAAAAGATTGAATTATATATTTTTTTTTAAAAAAATAATTAAGAACTTGATTAAACTCATAATTTTCCATCAAACCAAAAAGATGTTTTATGATACCGATCTTCAAAAAAACCACGTATGTATCTGTAGAATCCCAAACGTATTAGAATAGGATTATGTGTATAACTTATCATGTTTTTGATAATAGGTAAACCAACTCTTGTGTGAAGTAAGAATATTAGTGATATGACGAATACACTAATATTATAATTTCCGAGCACGAAGCTCTATCATAATCATTGAGCAAGTATAAAATTCCAAGGTAGTTCTGGAATCATCAATTAGAAAATCAGTATTCAAGAATGATTACATATCATCTTGATGATACAAACAGTGACAAAATGACCAATGTTATCAAAAAGTTCATCCAATCATTCAATGTGATAAAAACATATATTATTGTTAACTGTTACAAACAAGCTTTAATCAGCTTATTGACATTACGTTAGTCAGAACAACTCTATTAAGGATCACTAACGAGAGTTTAAGTTTTGAAACTATAATTTCGTATTCATCTAGAAAACCTAGAATGATGACTATGGTAATAGTCATGTCCCAAAATACTGTTATGTAAAAAAAATCAATCAAACAATTCGTTCCAGCTTGTACACAACGAAGCGTAATTTGTGAAACCAACATTTCAGACAAAGTCGTCTCAAGATGATTCTAAAAGAATTTCAAAAAAAATCGTAAATTACCCCACGTTCAAGAAACGCAATCTATACAAGAACTCTTGAGAACTCCTACAATACAGCAAGAGCAAGTCTAAGAGTATTTTGGACGCAAGTCTTCGTAAAAGAAATCCAAACACGTTACATCTATTATCCGCGTATATCTTTTCTCGTAAGAAAACATGTCATAATCATGACACTCAACAAAAGAAAGAAAAAACAACTTTTCAAAATTTGTGTTTTAAAAACAATGAATATTCATTATTTTGTACATCATCATTTTAAATGACTTCACCTAAGGAAATTTTGCGGACAAAATTTCTTTAAGGGGGGAAGAAATGTAACGCCACAAAATATGGCCTAAAATTTATTATAAAACAAAAGTAAATTTGAATATCATTTTGACCAATGAAGAATATTTAGACGTTTGACCAAAAATAAAAGGATTTCAAAATAATGACTTTTTGTTTAAAACTTATTTTTTTATGGATATGTCTCGAAGAGACGAATCCAACGGTACATTTTAAGAACCAATCTGATTTATAGATTTCAAGTTACGTCAATTTTAAATATTAAAATTTGTAACTTTGACCCATAAAATAAACTCAATTCAAAAGAGATTTCATAAGATTAGAAATCTAAATCTTTGACACTTCACAACACCTTATTTATCATTTGGATTTAATTCATATAATTATATCTCATTCATACTATAAAATTTATTTATGATTGAGACAAACCTGAACACTGAGAAAAATAAAAGTTCTCAAAAAATATTTCGATTACATCAAAATTCTAGTTTTGACAGTCTCATTCCAAAAACGTAACCCGTTTCTGATTCGGAGCAGTTTGGGCGAAAAAGCACGTACCGTTTGGAGTAAATTGTTCAGCTTTGGCAAGAAGCCAAAATTTTATTTTCCAAATCTCTCCCAAATCACGTAGCTTCCCTTTGTGATGCTCACAATCCCAAGATTTCAACTCTCCACTAACCCCATTAACACAACACTCCAAAAATAAATATATGATACTCCACCACCACCATCTTCATCATTATCATCATGTTCAACCATCATCACCATCATCTCATCTCTCCCCTCTCCACTCTCTCTCTCTGTCGGCCAAACCAAAGGAAAAGAAAAGAAAGTTCATCTCCATAGTTGGTTCAAGGAAGAAGAAGAGGAAACAGAAGGAGCAACCGGAGCCAATGTCTGGACGGTATGACAATAGTAATCGGCTAGGTGAGGAGGGGGGCGACGTTGACGAACTGGAGGTAGGGTTGACGGTGATGGCGAAGTGACGGGGCTGTCATTGTCGGAACCCGCGTCGCTTCCGCCTGAAGACGCCGGACTGCCGCCGCTGGGAGAAGTCGCGGGAACAGCCGGCTGGAGAGGGCTTGGGAAATCGGCGTGGACATGGGACGGGGGTTGGCAGTTTTGAGACGGTGAGTTTTTAGGAATTGCAAACGGAAAAACAGATTCATCAAATGAGATGTCTCGGGTGTGAAAGAAACGATGAGACTCAAGATCATAAACCCGCCAACCTTTAGTTCCCGAAGGGTATCCCACAAACATACACTTTAGACTACGAGGGTGGAATTTGTTTGGTGGACGTTGAATATTACGGACAAAACAGAGACACCCAAAAACCCGAAGGTGAGACAAGTCTGGAGGTTTTGAAGAAAGGATTTCGAATGGAGATTTACCTTGTAAAAGTGGAGTGGGTGTACGGTTAATGAGATAAACAGCGGTGCGAACACATTCCCCCCAAAACTCAAGAGGTAAAGAAGCCTGAAACATTAAAGAACGAGCAACATTAAGGATGTGACGATGTTTACGCTCAACCCGACCATTTTGCTGTGGTGTATTGACACAAGATGTTTGAACAAGCACTCCCTTACTCGTGTAGAATTCACGAAGAGGCCGGTTGAGGAACTCAGTTCCATTATCAGAACGAACAATTTTTTTGATTTTATGAAACTGAGTTTGTATGAGAGCAAAAAGTTGTTTCAAGCAACTAGTAACCTCACTTTTCTCAACAAGTAGGAAAACCCAAACAGCTCTTGAAAAATCATCCACAATAGTAAGAAAATAATGTGACCCAGTGGAAATACACGGGGAATATGGTCCCACAAATCACAATGGATTAAATCAAACAATTGTTCAGCTTTATTAATACTGGGAGTAAACGGAGAACGAGTCTGTTTGGAAAAGAAACAAATATCACAAGACTGAAAATTTTTAATTTCAGTATGGCTCTTATTAAACGGAGGAAAAGATAACACTTGAGGGGATGGATGGCCAAGACGCTGATGCAACAAAGATATAGACTCGGCTTTGAATGCCTGGGCTTGAGAAGGAAAGACATAAACTCCGTTGCGTGCTTCACATTGACCAATCCGCGTCTTCGTAGTGCGGTCCTGTATCACACAAAAATGGTCATCAAAGAAAACATGACAGTTATGTGAGTTTACAAGGCAACTAACAGAGATCAAGTTGCACTTTAAATTAGGAACATATAAAACATTGTGCAAGATAAGAGAAGGTGACACGTGCACTCGACCACACGAAGTGGACACAACATGGGTTCCATCCGGCAAGCTAATAGTGCAAGGAGACCGTGGTACAACATCCGTCAAGCAAGATAATAAACCGGTCATATGATGAGAAGCTCCACTATCCACCAACCATTCGCAAGGTATAGAGTCAGACGTACCTTGTAGTTTATCAGATGATGAAGGAGTGGAATCCAGCATGGAGAACAAACGTGCAACCTGATCCGGAGACATGGCAGAAAGAGAACTGGGCACATCGGTCACGGCATTAGCTGTGGACGTGCTTGCCGAGGGAGTTGGGTTGCCGGACTGCCCGGCAGTGGGGGGTGCCGACTGGGCAGATGTTCGGCCACCCCGATTACTGCGTCCTCCCCCTTGATTTGATGATGTGCGACCACGTCCTCGACCCGAAGACGGAAACCCAATGATCAAATAACAACGATCTGCTGTATGGCCTTGTTTCCCGCAATTAGTGCACTGGTACAAATTAGGCCCAGTACGTGGAGTAGCAAACACCATTGCATCGGTATGGTCGTCCCGAGCACGCACAACGCTACGGTGATGCTCCTCCTGGGTTATAAGATAAAAAGCTTTGTTCAAATCTGCAAGCGGTTGAGTTCCCAAAATTTGGCCTCGAATATTACCGAACTGCTCATCATCAAGTCCCAACAAAAATTTTCTTGTTTTCGCCTTCTCTGCATTTGCCCTTAATGTCGCCGCTGCTGGGCATGCACAACCACACGTGGGATCCTCGATCCCGTATAATTTATTCCATAAAGTGACAAACTGATTGTAATACACAACCACCGTTTGACCCTTTTGCCTAAGATTCTGCAACTCATTCTCCAATTGATAAATCCGAGGCTCATTTATGGTACTGTACCGAGTTTTCAAATCAGACCATAATTCGTGAACCACGGTATGAGAAGCAATACTAGGCTGTATAGTTTCATCAATGCTATTAAAAATCCAACTACAAATTGTGGAATTATTTGCTTCCCACGCCTCTAATTCCGCAGGATCAGTAGGTTTAGCCATTCCCGTAGGAGACAAAAACCCCACCTTGCTACGTCCCTTCAGTGCATTGACAATAGTTTTCTCCCAAGTATCAAAATTTTCACCTTTTAACACATGCTTTGTCAAAGTATTACCTGGACCCTCAGACGGATGGAGATAATATTCTGACGAAGGATCGTGGATCAAACGAGTTTTCTTGGTAGTCGCAGCCATTCCAAGAACCGAACTTGAAGACAAACGAAGAGATGGGTGCACTCAAGCAACCGAACAACCGAACAGCTTCCTCGCCGGAGAAGAGGGCCTGATCGGAGAACAAGAAAGACACGACGTCGGCCTAGGGTTTGGCCTTAAACGACGTCGGAGAACAGGAACGTGCGTGAGGCCTAGGGTTTAGGCTCCGATACCATGTAGAAAGTTTAGCACAACTGAACTGATTTTCCATTGAACATAAACCGATATATATACAAGTACATAAAATGGGCTACATGTACAGGCCCAATAACACAAAATCTACACCTAATTACAAATATCCGCTAACATCTAAAATCCGGAGTTCAAACACAGCAGCCCACTTCTAGGTAAAAACTGAAATTTTCCATCCATTATCTCGAAATACTTCTTGAACCAAAGTTGTAGCCCCGGACGATACAAATCCAGGCCAAAATACCGGGACTGCGCCAGTGGTGGCGAGCTCCTCGGGTTGGACCATTTTCTTCACCAAATTCATATTGTTTCATTCCAAGAACTCACCATAAACTCTCTAACAATTATTAAGAACATCCGGAAGGTATTGTAGAGAAGGTTCGGTGTTGGAATATTGAAGTTAATGTGTTAATCGTCGGACCGTTGTTCACCGGAGTATTCAAAATTCTGGACAACAACTTTCTCCTAACTTCAGGTCCAATTTACGCTATTTTAAATTCATTATCTCAAAATACTTTCTATACAAAAGTTATAGCCTTACATCTTAGGAATCCTCAAAATCAAATGGTTTGCAATTTCGTGAAGAAACGATGTCCTAAGATGTAAGGCTATAACTTTTGTCAGCCAAACGGTCGACAGCAGGTGGTTGACGGTCGACCGCCGCCCGCCCAGTCGAGGACCGTCTTTCTCATTCAGTCAACAACGGTCGACCGCCGCTCAACCGCGGTTGACCGTCACGGTGTTCCGCCAGCCCGACGAGATGAAGATCAAGGTCGACCGTCGCGTCTCACGGTCGACCGTTCCGAGCCCCGTAACTTATTTAAATGATATTTTAATCATGTTTCATCCAAATAAACTAATGCATGATTATATATTCATATTGTTTGCAAATTATTCACATCATGTCATTCATTTCATCATTTATATTGAAGCATATCACATCATGTGCATGCGTAAGAGATCATGCGTAATTGCATCTCTTATAGTTGTGATTGTGCGGGACTTAGCAATCCGACATCACGGACCGGGCTTAGTGTACGTACATGGTACTTAAGTACCACCCTTATTTCAGCGTGAGTTCGTCGTACCAAATGGGCGAATCTCATAGTTCAAGGCTCGTCCTTGCGTCTTAGAATCATGCATCAAGTACACCGATTACATAGGTGTTATGTAATCATCATCAAGAACAAGTATATTGATTACATAAGTATCATGTAATCATCCTCACAAGCAAATTTGATTAAATGTGCCATCATGTAATTATCATTAAATATTTATTATCATGATTCATCAAATTGACCATATGATATGATGTGCCATATCATAATTTTTAATATACATTTTTGTGGACATATATATATATATATATATATATATATATATATATATATATATATGTATGTATGTATGTATATATGTATATGTATATGTCTTTGAATTATTCTACAATTCTAGCGTGGTACCACTCAGCGGTTTCGCTGAGCGTGTAGTTTGTATTTTTCGTTGACTACACGTAGGTAACAAGAAGACAATGATGAAACCACTCCCGGAGGACATTGAGTCAGAGGAGATGCAAGGATGGCAGGCAAATGTTTGATCATCAGATTTTAAAATGTGTCATGATTTGATTAATATTGTACTTCCGCATTACTTTGAAAATATTTTTAAATGGGTCGCGATCCAGAGTCTGTAAATTTAATATTTATAAGAAATTGTCATCTTCAAATGTCAAGTGAAATTTTTATTTAACTCTCGTTTCACCTTAATTTGTGTAATTCCAGGTTATACGGCTTGGGGTGTTACTATAACTTTAAAAACAGTTCTAGACGGAATAACTAGACTACTGTTTGAAAAGAGTATTTTTAACTTATTATTGAGAACTGTGATAACAAAAATTGTATTTTGATATGACACAGACAACTTATAATAGAATATTGTTTTTCGAAACTTTAAAAATAGGTTTAAGCATAATAGCTAGACTATTACTTTTGTAGCCAACAACAACAAACAGTAGTCTGATTTTTTAACTACTGTTTTTCAATAAACAGTAGTTAATCAATGTCTCACACTGTTTTTGGCGTAGTGATGAATCATTTTCTAATGCATGGCAGTACTAGGATAGTTTCACATTTAATTATTTACTTACCTTTTGTATTTTAGGAATGACTTTATTATGGTGTGAATTCCTTGGTAAAGGATTAATATATGTAGCATGGTCCTAAAATTCTATTTAAATTAATTAAAAATATTCTTTTTTTAAATAGTATCTATATTTCTTCATATTTATTTTTAATTTTTTATATTATCATCGTAATTGGAGTTCGTATTGTTGTAATCTGAATACAGATATTTACATATAATATTATTGATTATCCAAGATACATAATTAAGGATTGCCATATATAAGTAAAGATATCAAAAATAATATTAGTATTATCCAAAATACATAATATAAGTAAGGTGATGAATAATATACTCGTGATCAGAACTTATAAATTTTGTATTATTTAGGATTGTTTCTTAATAAGATTTTCCGTAAATTTTGTTAACGACCATATATAAGTAAGGTGATCAATAATATATACTCATGGAATTAAGATAAATAAGTAAGGAATCAAAAATAGTATTGGAATTTCTATTAGTATAGGTACTCTATTGATTTCAACCTATATATATATACAAATTTTCATTAATCAATCTTTGTTACTTATTAATTTAAGTATGAAATTTATAAATATGAAAGTAAGATGAAGGATTAATATATGTAGCATGGTTCTAAAATTCTATTTAAGTTAAATGAAAATTATTATTTTTATTTTTTATTTTTTAAATAGTATTTATATTTTTTCATATTTATTTTTAATTGTTTATATTATCCTCGTAATAGGAGTTCGTATTATTGTAATCTAAAAACATATATTAACATATAATATTATTGATTATCCAAAACACATAATTAAGGATTTCCATATATAAGTAAACGGATCCAAAATAATATTAGTATTATCCAACATAAATAATATAAGTAAGGTGATGAGTAATATACTCGTGATCATCATTTTCAAATTTAGTATTATTTAGGATTGTTTCTTAATATATTTTTTTTGTAAAAAATAATATTCTAATTTCGAGTAATATATGTACTCTATTGATTTTAACTCTTATTATTAACGAATTTCCACAATAAACCTTTGTAACTTATTATTTAAGTATGTAATTTTTAAATATGGAAGTAAGATAAAGGATTAATATATATAGCGTGGTCCTAAAATTGTATTTAAATTAAATGAAAATTTGCGGTCAATTGTTTCCAACAGGAGATCCGCTGGTGCATCGTATATAATTTATTTCCGTTGGTTTACTTGGATATTACGTGGCGTGCTGACATGTATAACTTTTGCCACATAGACATGCCAAATGTCAAATTTCTATGGATACGAGTCTCTTTTATTATATTAAAGGATAATGATGATATAGGATAGGATAAGATTGAGGACACTAAAACTTTAAAATTTGTAAGGGTATAAAAGTGAAATGTGGGTAGGGAAACAAAAGTCGATCGAGTCAAGTTGGGAGCGCCGAAATAGGGTTAGGGAGGGAGGCGGTATTGGAAGTACGATGCAAGAGGCAAGGACTCGACAGAGATCGAGAGAGGCATCATCATGGAAGAGGAAGAGCTGGCATTCGTGGTGTGCGGGCAAAGAGCTGTACCCGGTGACGAACTCCCTAGGAAGGGTTTGGCGGAATTCCACAAGGTGTTTTTGGGAGGGAAGGGGAAAGTTGTTGAGAATGCGTATCCACCATTGCTGAGTAGCTTAGGAGCATTCTGTTTGGTAGCCTTGCCTCCGCCCAAGGAGGGCGGGGGAGGAGGTCCGACGGTGTACATGGTGGGCGGTTTGGGTCCTGGTGAGATAGGTCCACCCAACGATGAGGATGACGACAAACTAGTTCTCTACCCCGGCGGGTGTCGTCTTGTCGATGGGGATCCTCCGAGATGGGAGCGGATTCAAACTCCCATTCACAATGGTCGCTACTCCACCTGTGCTGTCCATCAGGGGAAGATTTATTGCTTTG